AAACATGGTGAAATAATATATTATATTCTTCACCTGGTGTGCATTATAAATCTATGCAGTTAAATTATATATTTTGGTAACGTAAAACCAACGCTATGCGCTAATTTGCTCACGCACACTTGCTTCCTCCGCAGTTGCTTGCCGCACAGCTGTTTGCCTCTGTTTTCGCTCGCTGTGTAAAATTTGAGGAATCAGCGTTAGTGAACGTTTGCTTTTACAGTTATTAAAGAAAATAGACTTATGAAGCATTGATTTAACAGTTTGCGTGTTGTATTATTACAGAAGCACATTCTGTATAGTACAATGCGAAGTAACTTGTGTCATAAACACATGGGGCTATTTAATTAGTAGCTAAAATTGCGTGCAAGGGCTCTAAATAATCGAGAAGCTGGATATTGGCATTAGTGTTGTCACGTTTTACGAATTATCTGTCAGAATTCGAAACAACAAGCTGACAATTGCTGATTTTAATCAGGGTGTTTCTTTTCTTGTGGCGGCTGCGGCTGGCCAGCAATGAACTGCTCGATCTTAGTTTCGTTCATGCTTTGTTCCTTTCGCATACCAGCGATTAACTTTCATTTGGAAGGACGGTGCGAGGCAATAAATTGCGAAAATCGTTCAATAGAATTATTCGTTTTTGGCATGCCCTCATGGAATGTTTCAACGTAATTTCACATCTCTAAAGGGATGCGTGGTTACCTTCGTTCTTGACATCGGTCTTGAGGTCAGTCCGCATAGCTTCAGAGCTGTTTATAAAACCTTGCGCATCGATCGGGTAATCGTTCATTTCAGAAACGACCTCAAATGTTTGCAGTACGCGCTGCACTGGTGTTCGTGATGATGCAGTAAGCATCCAGACATTTAAGGCGAAGGTAGCATCCAATGAGTGTATTAAGCATCTTTGTCCGACGCTGTTTGTTATAATACTTCGGTAGTTGCATTGGTGGCGGTGAAGGAAGCATCAGCGATACAGGACGTTTGGAAGGCTTTTCTAAAAAGCGTTAATCGCGGCATATTCGTAATCAGCCGTACCGTACCGATTGAGGTGCCAAACTTCGTTGCAGATGTTTCAAAACGTCCAGTATTCGCAAATGAATCGCATCTGCTTTGCCTGACAACAAATCAAATACAGATAGTGTGATATTAGGGTACTGTATCCTGTGAATCGTGTAAAGTTGCTGTAAAAATTAAGGTAGAGTTTTAAATATTCTGTCGGCATGTCAGTTGAATGATTGGGACAATAGTCGCAAATTTTCGCTAGCTAAAAAGATTGGTAAATGGTTGTTACGGGGTCCGCAGTCATCGGAAATTCTCGCTACTAAACATCTACCATTCCAGCAACGCCAGATCGGTTTGGCTGGTTGGATTTGGTCGTCCGACGATTGACTGTCTTCTTCATATCATGGATCGGTCAGTTTTGACAAAGTGCTTGTGACAGTCCTGCAGAAGCTAAGGTTATAATTTTATGGGTATAGTTCTGAAACATTAAGGCGCGTTCCTTCAGTTCTTCGATAACTCTCAGTACTTTGCTTTAGCAGCAGGTTTGTTTCCCGGATTAACGAAATAACATGTTTATCCAGTTTATGGAATCTGGCACGATATTTGTTCTTCCTGCTGAGTTTGCACTTTCACATAATTTTCTCTTTCTTCTCGTTGTCATTGATGAACAGGTTGCCAAAGTGGACTAACTTAGATTAGCCATTCGTAGAATTAACCGACTGCAGAGGCACTTCTTGTTAGCTTTCCATTCGAATTACTGCAGACACTATAACAACGGTGTTGTCCACCAACAGTGGTGACGTATACAGCCTTTAGGTGTGACGATCAGACGATCAGCTGTACGGCGAACAGCTGTCTAGGACTAAATGTGCGTGAGCAGATTTATCTTAACCATATGGAACAGGCCAGATAGTATAGTATATTATGTACTAACTTTATGCTATACATGTCTCTATGTATCCCTATTAGATTTGTCTCAGATCTTGTATTTGTACTACACATGATTTGATTATACATATGTAAGGCATATATATGTAGTAAGATGCAGTAGAACGTATACTGTGAAGAAAACGATATATTATTCATCACTATCCGTTGTATAATATCTTTCAAAACTTTGACAAAAGCCACTGTTTCATGTTTTATTTCAGTGGTAAAACTTAGGAGGAATAATGTCATGACCATAACTACCCTGATACCAATGGCGCATATGTTGAAGTAAACATCTAAACAGCCGGTCGATTGCTGTACGTATAATGATCGAATCCCACCAATATTTTTTTATGAACGAAGTAAATCGTTAATAAATTTTCGATAAGCCGTGCTTTATATCGAGTGAGCAATATATCTTAAATATGTTAATTAGACTAATTTTGTATACGCATCATGATGTATATGTATATTTATCATAATGTATGGTGATCTACAATGCTTAGCACAACTGCGAAGATAACAGGTAAACTCTGTGAGATGTACCCTATAGTATAACGTATACACTCAGCTGAATGTTATATCTGTTTTATCACTGTCCAGTATGACGTCTTTCAGATACTGTGTGCAATGCTTGCGGTTGCATGAAATATTGTGATAGTCATACATGGTGATTGTTGTAGATTCTATACAATACTATGCCAAATAAACATGTAATATTAAAGATATATTGCTTAATAGGCATAGTATTTAACATTTCATACGGCTCGGCTTTTCGAAAATTCGTGTTAACGGTAGAGATACTTTGTCCATCAGTATATATTGGTAGGATTTAATAAGTAAAAATATAGCTGTCGACGACCAGTGATTTACGCGCTTATTTGAATTAGGCACAGTTGTCGATGGGGCAGTCTTACAGATGACATTTTTGGCCTAAACCATGCCATTAAAATAAAGACCTGCAACAGTGGCTTTTGGAAAGTTCTGAAAGATGATTTACAAAGGCAGTGATGTAATAGTCTTCGCCTGTGCTAGAATGTAGCCATCAGTAGCAAGAAACATTTGCGATAGTTTTTTATTAACATTTAAAATATCGAATATAAAACAAAGAGAAAGAAGATTAATTTTCATAATTATGATTTGATGTGTTATTGTTGTATCGATGATACATGCACTATTAATGTGTCGAAGCTTGGCTCAAATAAATAACTGGGTTGAGGTATTATGTGACAAGATGTCCATCAAACTGAAATGGAAAGTGTACAGAACGGCAGTAAGACCGCTGCTTCCGTATGGATCAGAATGTTTGGCTATCCTGAAGAGACACTAGCAACAGCCGAACGGCAGAAATGCGAATGCTCGGATGGATGTGTGGTGTCAGTAGAAAGAACCACATCCAAAACAGCTGCGTAAGAGGCACCTTAGGGATAGCAGCAATTTTAGAAAAGTTTGCCGAAAACAGTATCCAGTAATTCGGTACTGATACTACTAGGGAAGAAGGGGATGACCAAAGAAAAGGTGGTTTCATCAAGAACGATATGAAACTGTGAAGAATCACTAAAGATCTAACCAAGAACAGAAAAATATGAGGAGTTTGATTCGATTAACGGAACCGTCTTAAAGGGAACATGGTAGAAAAAGCGGAAGAAGACAGTTTTATCGATGAACGATCCACTCGTAGCAACGTAAAATAAAAGCATGCCGAGTACAAGCGTTTTACGGGCGGCCGATGACAGAATCTTGTATTTTAGTAAATGCCTTAAGGTGCATGAATCAAGAAGATTTTCGAAAGAAGGGAGAGAAGGAAAAATTGGAAATTGTAACTGTAATGGTAGAAATATCAGTCGACCATCATGAGGCATGACTGAACTGCCGCAGTATAATTACAGCCGGTCAGATTCTGATTTTGCAGAGGTCATTTCTTGCAGACAGTTGAAGACGCTTCCAGATGCAGTGATAAAAATCGTTTTTTAATGTAGAAAAAATTTATTGGTTTTTCCAATTAACATATCGCCAACAGATATTTTGAAGTGTTGAGACTCCTAATCTCTTGGATAAAGCAAGCAAAATCTACTACTCCTGTTGCCTATTGTTGCCCATTACAGTTGACACCCTATTGCCATAATAAAGCGTTTACTGTACTTATGGGTTGACAAGCAAAGTATTACTACCTATCTTGCTCAAATATACTTGTTTGTGCATAATTTTCTCACGACAGAGAAACAGTAAAAGGAAAACTTGCTTTTAATGCCGGCACAAATACATTATGACATTAGAGACAGACCAGCTTAAGAATGTAATGACGCTTCTGGGACATTGTTTCATCTCAGACTGTCGTTGCGTATAGGACAACTTATTCCTCTGAGAACTTATAGGAAAAATTTATGTATGACTGCCAAAACTTCTGAAACTTATGCTTGTGACGAGTTAATCGTGTTGATTGACATCTTTTGCGGGAATGTCCCTTCCGCAACTATCTTTGAACGCTTTTCTTATAAGAATCTGATATGTATCTTCCTTAGATCTCTGTTAACTTCTAAACAACTGTTCGCTTTAAAGGTGTCCATTTCGATCTAAATATGAACTTGCGATGACTATAATATACCCAAAAGTAAGCGACTGGGCGATTATCATCTACCAAATCTACCAAGTTATAATTTTTAACATGCTGGTGTTACCTTCCAAAATGATACTCCGTCAAAACTGCTAGACTGAAACTGATTTGTGGTTCTGTAACAGCCTGTAATACTACGGTTTTACCCGATTATTACCTAGCTTATGTTTATACCAAAACAGTCCTGTTCCTTGCATGTTTATGCTGTGGTTTTAATGGCAGCAGAGGCTTACACATTAAGCCGGTTAAAACCACCCTTTCATACTCGTGTGAACGGCATACCACTATGGACAGTAACATCGGCTCGTTAATATTTCTTGACGATTTATATCCGTAAAGATTTTTTTTCATTTTGTTAAGCGGTCCTAGAAACAAACTATACAGCTCATTGTTACCTGCTCCGAATGAGACCTTTCAAGTAGCTGGATTAAAAAAGCGGTTATTTTTTTACAGGTTTTGTACGTTCCTCATTTCATATTGCCCATGTACGTACCTATTTTCATCATATTCACAGGATCTTTTGTTTAATGCCATATTGTTCTTTAGCGATGAGCAAAACGACGAAGTTGAGGAGGAGGAGTACGACGAAACTGCTCAGGAAAAGCGATATCGATTGGCTAAGGAGTACCTGGCTGAACTGGAGCGACAGGGTATATCTCATGACTTTGTGTCACTGCTAATTATTTTGCTGTGATAGAGGCGGAAAAATCGGAAAATAAGCAAATCGATGCTGAAGCCATAGCTGAGAAGTTGAGGGATCATTCGGTAAACTTGGTTTGCAGATTCATAGACAATTATACTAAAAACGGTTTATGACATTTCAGGAGCAGATCCGTCGAGTACAGCGAAGAATCGCTGATTCCGTAAGTTTTTTTTAAATTCCCTGCGCCGTTACTGAAATGTAAATATGATGAATCTCTTATAAAACGCTGCTGTCCACATGATAAATTACCGTATTACTTATTTAAGCATTAAGCATCATACAATTCAGTTTACATTAGTTTATATATCATTGTATATATATATATATATATTGTTATTTAAGTTTTCCAACT